GTGCTCTCATAATGCCTGGCACGCCCTTCTAATATAGTATGTGAGCGGTTGCGCTCTCGTCCATTCTGTACTTTCTGTCTGTCCCTCCAAAGTGCGAGCCCATGAAGGGCAGAGGGCAGGAGAAAATCCCCTCTACCTCTGGAATTTGTGTCCAGGTGTCAGCAGAAGCCCCATCTTCCCCGCCTCCTCTCTGCTTGCTGGCTGGAAACACGTCTGTCCCCACGGCACCACACCCGCCTCAGCTCACACCAGGATCCCTCCTGCCCCCAGCCAGGCCTCCCCAGCCTGCTGCTCCTGGGAGTTGTTTCCATGCCCTTCTCCCACTCCTCCCCACCCCAGCCCCCGCAACTTCCCGCACCCTTCAGGTTGCCTGGGGTCCCCCTCTTCCCCTGCAGATGCCAGCCCTGCCCGCTGCCCCCCTGTCCCCCGCCACCCTGTCATCCTTGGAGACTTCAAAGCTGGCAGCCAGTAGCCCATTGCCTGGCCTTGACCTCTCTCTCCCTCCCAAGGATCCGCCTTGGCGTGTCATGCTGCCCCCTGGTTGTGAAATGATGAATAACTATTGCACCGACATATCCTGCCCAGGGCAGGGAAAAGAGCTGAGCTCTGTCCTCAGGACCTGCAGCTCTGCACGCCCCAAGGCCCAGTCTGATCACATCTGGCCCTACAGCGGGGGTGGGCAGAAGAAACAGCTGTTTCCCGCTGGCTCTCCCTAAGGCTCCGGCCCCTCACCCACTCTCCCCAGGGCTCCCTGCAGGGTCGTCCTGCTCCAGGCCTGGCCTCCTGGGGCTGCCAGGCACGGAATCCAGGGTCAGTTTCATAGATCTGCGAACACGGATGCACAGTTTAGAAAACCGCACACTTGCGGAGACCAACAGCTCTCCCTGCAGCAGAGAAGACGGGGCAGCATCTGGTGCTTCTCCCCGTGTCAAATCGCAGCCAGACAGGGCCATCATTTAGCTTGTAACAGCCTCATCATCAAAAGATCACACCAATAATTTCTAAAAACCAACCACTGATTTGCGGCTTATTAGGATAATTTGCTGTATCATTTGCACTTCGACTTTTAACTGGCTAGGCCATTTCTTAATATATACTTGATGTATACAGAAAGTAAAGGCGCGTGTTTTCGTTCTGCCTTATTATTAATTTGTATGACCTTTTCAGTTGCCGAATACATTGACTATCATCCTTCTTGCCACCTGAGCCACCCACGTTCCTGGTCTTACCCTCAACCTTGAAGTTACTGATAACCACACGCGCACGCACACACACCCCAACAATCCGTCGTTTGCACCCCATTCCTTCATGCCCTTGCCTAACTGTCCCAGCTCTGCTCCCTGAGCCCGACTCTGACAATTCCCTGACGCTCAGCCTAAGGCTTCCAATGCATTGGCCACACACACACACACACACACACACACACACACACACACACACACACAGAGCCACATACACCGTCTCACAGTCCCCCATTACCCAGCAGCTTAGAGGCACACTCCATCTTCGCATTCACCCCAAGCCTCCTCATGGTAAAGGCGAGTCCTCAACCACACCACACCTGCACCCTGCTGGAGAGAACCCCGAATCCCAAGAGGGACCTGGAGCCACCAATACACACGCAGCGTGTCACCCCCTGTACAGCCCGGTCTGTCCCTACTCCAGGCTCCTGGGGGACATTTTACCTCCATCGTCTTTCCTCAAGCCTCCAGCCCTTCCACCCCTCCTCTGAGGATACTGCTTCCCTTTTCATGAGGAAAACAGCAGCAACCAGCAGGGATGTATCACAAGCTGTACCTACCACATCCACCACAGGTGCCAACTCTTTGTGCACCTACCCTTGTGCTTGTGTCCTGGACCTTGTCCCCTCTCACTCAGCTCCCTCCTTTCTGTGGCCTGTCCTTTCTTTCCTCTCCACCAAACATTCCGGTGGGCATCATCTCCCCTGACCCACACTGCCAAGTGGGAGTGGACACTCCCTAGCAAGGTGTAGAGGGAGGTCAAGAGACAGCAACAAAGGATGTGGGGTGGGGCTAGGGCAGTAAGACCAGCATGTGCAAAGATCCTGTGGTAGGAAAGAGCAGGACATGAGAGAAGACCAAGAAGAATGGAGAAGGAGGAAGTGGGTGGAGGTGAGACCCAGAAAAGAGAGAGAGAGAAAGAGAGAGAGGTCAAGGCCTCCTAAAGGTGGTGAGCTTTAAGCTGGTGTGTTTTAAGCTGGTGGCTATAGGATCAGATTTTCATTTTGAAGGATCTTTGAGATTATTCTATAGGGAGGCGAAAGAGTGGGTGCAAAATGTCAGTGGGGAGGCTACAGTGTCACCCAGGGGAGCTCATTCGATGGAGGTGCTGCCCACAGCAAGGCAGGGGCAAGGAGAGGTACTGTGACACTCCCGCAGGCAGGACACGGACAGGATGAATGGCGGTGAGGAGGAAGAGCCGTGGGCAAGCATGGCCAGGCTCAAGCTTGCAGAGGGAGCCTGAGGGGTGCTCACCGAGCCAGGCTTGAGGGAGAGACTGTGAGTCAGGGTGCCCAGCACAGGGCTCAGAGGAGAGGTGCAGTGGCTTGCGATTCCCTCCGACCTCTGCAGGTGCATCTCCTCAACCTTGCTTTGTGCCGGAAGCCACGGGTCCCAGTGTGACTGGGGCCCAGGCTCGGCCCAGAGCAGCCAGTCAGGGAAGCAGGTGTAGGCGTGGCCTCCGGGATGCAGCTGCTGCCCTTGAATGAGAGACCAGAGCAGCACCACCTGCCAGCCCTGGGTCCCCAGGGGAGCTCTGACCCCAATTTGTTAGGCACCTGAGGGCACATTGGTAGGAAGGACTCTCTAAGAGAGCCTCCTGGGCCCGTTCCTTATAAAGATGCCTGGCTCTGAGCTGATTGAATTGAAGGAAAATGAAAGTGCTTTGCTAAGTGCTTTTCACCCACTCTGATTTGTAATTTTAACAATAGGGAGAATTTTTTATCTACTTTGCAGCAATTTTCAGGATAGAGAAGGGAGAGGAAAATGTACGAGTGATAAGAACAATGGTGTATCAGGGGGTGGGCAGCCCAGGCCTCCTGTGTACACCCCCAGAAGCAGGAGGTAGGAGAAAAAAATGTAGGGAGGCTGAAGAGAACGAAAGGCCAAACCACTCAGTGATCTGCCAGTAGGTGCGTTTGGACTCCGTGAGCTTCGTTCAGTGCTGTGACCAGAAGTTCCAATGCATGCTGGGAAACTGTTTAAGAAGCCAGGAAAGTTGGTGAATTTGGTGCTGGGACAGTTTGTGTGTGAATGGGAGCAGGGCTCCTCTTTACAATGGGCACCACATGACAGGAAATACATAAAGTGCTTATTATATTCATCTAGAATGCATACACATACCTGTCTGCTGGCTATAAGAGGCAGGTTAGATATCCCTTGTCCAAAGTACTTGGGACCAGAAGTTGGGAATCTCAGATTTTTTTTTTATTTTAGAATATTTCAGATACATAATGAGATATCCTGTGGGATGGGACCCAACTCTAACCATGAAATTCATTATATTTCATATACATATAACCTGAAGGTGATTTTATACAATATTTTTACTGTGCCTATGTTTTGACTATGCCCCTGCACTGGAAGTCGAGGTGGAATTTTCTACCTGTGGTGTCAGGTTGGTGCTTAAAATGTTTTGGATTTTGGAGCATTTCGGCTTTTGGATTTTTGACTTAGGAATATATATATATAGGTCTTTGTAATGATGCCTTAAAATTTCTCAGTGATATCGATGGTACATAATAAAACCAAGTCCTACTTGTGGCACCTTCAGACTCTACAAAAAAATAAAGTGCAAACAGGTGCTAAGGACTCCACCAGTTAGGTGGTAGTAGCCAGTGTTATAGACAATCCCCAAACGTCTGTGGCTGAACCTAGATCCATTCCCTCTTACACCAGAGCGCTCAAGGACTGAGTGCACCTGGTACCATTCCAAGCACTGTGTGTGGGCCCTCAGATGGGGAAACTGAGTCAACACAAGGAAGCTGGGCTGCACCAGGCAGCCTGACCACAGATCCTGCATCTGGGCCTGGCCCAGCCTCCCAGCATTCTTTTCCGTTCATTAGTGGCACCTCTGCTGGTGCTGGGCTCAGGACAATGCATGAGACAGACAAGAGTCCCGCCACTGTGAAACAGATACGCTAGCAACTGTAAATTGGACACTCTTCATCGGTGTGATAAAGGTTGCCTTGATAGTTCATGAATTCACTCAGTGAATGTTGGGGAGGACCTACTGGGGCCTCGGGCTTAGAGTTGGCCCCTGGACTGGTTTGCCACTGCTCAGCCATCATTCTGGAAATATCTAGGCCGTAGTGTGAGCCTTGACTGCATCATGTCCTAGCCACAGATCATGAGCCTCCCTGAGCCTCAGTTTCTTTGTCTGTAAAATGGGGTGATGACACCCCTCTCCCAGGCCTGAGCCAAAATGAGCTGCTATAGAAGGGCTCAGGCCCCATGGGGACTCAGCCTTGGGGATCCCCAGAGCTGTCAGGGCCTGGGATGCGAATGTCACCCCCTGCAGGTGGGCACAGGTTCTACAGACTCCACTGAGGGCCCTGCGGCTGACTGCTGCTGCCAGTCTGAGGTCTGCCTTTTTGGGGAATCAATCTGCAGTTTTCTCACATGCAAGACACAGGGCGACCCCCCGCCAAGCTGGGGCACGGGCGCAAGGGATGCACGTCCATCAGCCTCCTTAGCGAGGCCCAGGCCCAGAATGAAACTTCAGCCTCTGCCAAGCTCAGCTAATCCTCAGCAGCCGCGACGCAGGGATGGAAGGCAGGGTTTTGAAGTCTTAGCTTTAGATCCTCTCCGCAGTGCTGCGGTGTGTGTGTTTTGATCCGCCAGGCAGATGTCCAAACAGACAAAGCGATCCTTTCCTCCGGGGTGAGCCGAGCTTCAGAAGAGCGAGGAGTCGGGAGGGGGCTGGGGCGCGGCGCCCCGCAAAGGACCACGGCTCACGCGCTCCTCTCCTCTGTTTTGCAGGGAACTTCAAAGGCCTGTGCAAGCAAATCGATCACTTCCCAGAGGATGCAGATTACGAAGCTGACACAGCAGAATATTTCCTCCGTGAGTTGCACAATCTTTTAATCTCTCTCCAGGTGGCGGGTCCTGTGCTTCCTTCCTTCAGAGAGCCTAGGATCAGGCCCCCTGCGGGGCCTGGTCTCTGCAGAGGACAGGGAGAAGCTGTACCCAGCTGCTTTCTTTCCTCCTCTTTGGAGAGCAAACCATCATGCGTGCTGTTCCCTCTGCCCGCAACACCCTTCTTTGTCTCGCAAACTCCTATTCACCCTCCAGGCTCAAGTGAAACATCACCTCCTCCAGGAAATGCCCCGCCCCCTGGGTAGGTTAGCCATCCCCCAACTCCCAGAGGCAAGGACCCTCTCTCTCTTTCTTCTCCATTCTGTCCCCAGCCCAGCACGAGTATTTCTTAAGCAAATTAGGGAGAAATTCCACCAGCCAATACTAGAGCTTGGAACTTCCACTAAGGGTAAAAAAAAAAAAAAAAAAAAAAAGAAAAAAGAGTTGTTTTTTTTTTTTTTCCTTTTCCACCGCAAGTCAAATCAAAGTTAAATCCCGATGTAACAGCTGTGATCTTAAATCCACCTGAGACATATTATCAGGAGACAGCATTCTGCGGCCCCAGGGGAATTTCTCAAGCATCAGCAAAAACTAACAAGGCTCCCTACTCCCTGAGAAAGGGATTTCCCGGAGACAGGCTGAGAGCCCTTGAGGCCTGGGCCCGCAGAGCTGAAGGCTCTCAGGCCGGTACCACCTCTGCCCAGACAGTCTGCGCTCAGCCTGTGCTCCTCCACCCTCCCCCCCGCGGAGTGGTTAGCGTCACCCTCAGATCGTTTTTATGAAAAATGTAGGAGACATTTTATTATATGGATTGCCCCTGTCTCTTTCAATAATTACTCCTCACATCAAAGCCAGCGCTCAGGTCAGCCTGGAATCTGGCTTCATTGAGAAGTCCATGGAACATGAAGCCGGGAAGCTGGAAAGAGAGAGAAAGGGAACAATTTTTTTTTTTTTTTTTGAAAGGGAAACAACATCATACCATGCTTGTCATTTCCTTTTACGAATTCCCCTAAGACGTTGCTCTGAAATAGAACTCCCACAGGGACACGGGGTTGTCACTATCTGTTGCTGTGTGTGGAGCTCTCAGTCAGCCTGGTCTTAGTATAGGAGACCAGCAGGGCAGTAAACATAAATTGAGCACCTGCTGTATACAAAATCTCACGCCCAGTGCTGGGGAGGCCACCATGGCCAAGCAAGATCATCCCTGGCCCCCCCAAAGGGCACACCTGGCCAGTGGGGTGGAGGAGGTGTATCAGGGAAACAGCTGGACTCAGGAGATGAAGTAGAGGGGTGTGATTGAAGCTGAGCCCCACTCCTGGCACAATGCTCCTGGCTACAGATCTCACAGCTTAGTGATGATGTGACATTTTACCGGCCAGGTGGTAAGCTCCTTGGAGGAAGAATCTTGCCTCATCTCCTTGCTGCCCCCAGAACACAGTAGGTGCTTAATAAATGCATTTTGCTCAATAAAGGAAAAACATAGGGTTCTCCAGTGGCAATTCCCACCAACTGTATGCCTCGGTTTCCTCCACATGTTTTTTTCTTTTTTTTTTTTTTTTTTTTTTTAGGTCAGTGTTTGAGGAATGAACTGATATTCGAAAAACAGGGGTTTTC